TGGAACGGGCGGAAAATGGCTGCGGATCCGGTTCGTCAGTCGAGGCGAGTTTGGAAGTCGGGGGAAATTTTTTGGGCCGGAGCTGGGCGTATCTCGAAAAATTCGTAGGTAGGGGCGTTCGTAACTAGAGGTACCACTGTGTTCAATCTTTCACTTAATGTGTTACTTTATGTGTTACTATTGTGCAATCAACAGTGATAATTTGTTAGGACTTAGTGTGATGTATATAGATGTTACTCTTGTTCATTTGCCATGAATTTGGTCTTTCAAAGTTGTTCTGAAGCTTAGCAATACTTAGCAGTACAATCTCCAGTGAAAGTATGTAACTTTGGCTTTTCTGGGTCATAGGTTATATTGGAAGATTGTATTGCAGAATGCAAGTTTCCTCCAAAACCAAATGCAGTATGTCGTTACCAGCAATGCCAAGCGCATAAAGTCAAAATATATTTTAGTGACCCGGATTTCAAGGTAAATATTATATTTTAATTATGGTGTCTCTTTGTTCAGATGCTTTTGCAAAACATATTACTTTTCTAGTTTCTAGATTTCATATTTTAGTCATATTTTTGCAGGGTTAACATTTCTTTCTCCAAATTTCAGGGTTTTATACGTGTGGCCTGCTGTGAACAGTGTATAGTAGAATTTCATTTAAATTGCTGGAAAAAAGTGAAAGCTACAAGATATTGTGATAAAAATGATAAGGTAACATCTTGAAAATCTCTTCTTTGTAGAGGCTGCTTAATGTTGTATTGAACCGAATGGAATTTTATGAGTTAGGCATGCTTGATATGGATTTGTGTGATCGATATTTGCTCTATCATCATGACACTTTCACCCATAATAAGGGAAATTCAGGGGTTCAGGGTTACAACGGCTTTAGGCCATTCAAAGAATGTAAGGGAAAGCTAATGAACTGCTAATATGGCATTACAGGAGAAGAAATTATTTCTTGTGCATTCTTCCCTTAGTGTATTTTGTTTGCAATTTGCAAAATAACCTAATGAATATTAGTTACCCTGAACTCAGTTAAGGTTATGATGTCCTTAAATTCAGATTGCTAAAGATGATGATGAAAGTATGGATCCATTTATGATACAATGAATGTTCAGCAGTAGTAAATGTGTTAATTCATATTTGAAAGGAAACAGGAGCAAAATAATAAAATAATATATCTGTATGTCATTTATACAATGCTTAAATTTAGTATAAATTAGAAAATAATATGTAAATTTCACAAAACTTGCAGTGAAATCCTGTCCACAGATACATTTTCTGCTAACATCCACAGGATATTCTTCAAGAGATGTGTTTCACTCCAGACTGTAGAGGCCTTATTTCTAAAATCATTGTCTTCAGTTCTTCTGGTATTGTCAAATGTGAGGTAAGTATTGATAAAATATTAGGTTTTTTTAAAAAAATTGCTTTCTTTCAGAGGAATCAAAATGCTATTATTTTGCTGCAGACAGGAATTTTGAATTTATTTAATTATATGTGCTCATTATACCAGTTGTGAATAAGACTGTACATTTCCTAGTTCTCCTGCTTTTTCCAGAACAAATTGTTTCTTGTTAGCAACCAAGGCAGTGGAGGGATTCATGCTGAACAGCAAAGCAGTAGAGAAGAAATACATAAACTTGTAATTTGCTCCTAATCTCTTAATCGCCATTCAAAGAGTAGCAGTCTGTGGTGTTTCACCTTAGCCTAGCTCTAGAAAATGGACCTAGATGAAAAGAATCTATGCTGAATTATATTCTAACGTTTATGGAACATCTTGCCGCCTGAGGTGCGGTGTGCCCCCTCCCTCATGGCCTTCAGGAGAGAGATCAAATCCTGGCTCTGCCAGAAGGCTTGGGGGCCAGAGGGGGGCCCGCACCTATGGAGATGGCTGGTGGGGTGAGGGGTTGTCCCCCCCCCAGCATCTTACAGGTTTTTTAGGGCCAAATTACAAGAGGTTTTTAAGCCATTTTTATACATGTTTTTAACTATTTATAGATTACATGCCTATGCCTGGAGAGTCCTGTGTTTTTTATTATTATTGTGAGCTGCCTAGAGTCCCCCACTGGGGGAGATGGGCGGCATACAAATTTGAAAAATAAATAAATAAAATAAATAAATGTTGAATAAAATAATGTATAATCTACAATTAAATTGTGGTCTCAGTAAAGCATGCTAATATGAATTAATTTAATAATAAAGCAGCATCTCCTTCATTTTAATAGTTGTAATAAAATAGTATTAAGGAAAAGGAATATTTGAAGCTGATATTTTTTGCTTCCCTAGTTTGAACATAAAATAACGACCAAGAATCCTCCAAGGCCTATTCTAAAGCAGAAATGCTCAAGGTAAGTTTCCAAACTCTCCAAATAAAGTTTCCAGAACAACATATTCCCAATAAGAAAAGATGATCTAGTAACTAAAAAATGCTATTTCTTTCAATGGGATACATAAAGATACTGCTGATAGAATGCTTGGGGTAACTGGGGTTACCCTGATTGCTTATCTTCCAGCCATGAGTGACCTATCAAGATTAATAGGGCTTCTCTAAGTCACTTTGAGGTAATAACTAAGAATGTTCAAAAGTTTCTAAGCACTGTACAAATCAGCATTTATCAACCTTTTAATTGGATTTTCATTTGGAAAAGAATATCAGTTTTGAATGGGACCTAGTGTAAATACAATCAGTGCTCATACAAATTTGTGACTTTTATTAATGTTTATTAACATAGAACGTAGAATTACTTAGCCATGTTTAATTCTGTTGAGTGTAATAGAGCTTTGTGGGAATGGTGCCATTGTAGTTGTACTTGATATTTTTGGAATCTTTTGTGTCATTATATTTACTTTTATTCATAGTGTAAACCTTAAATGTCTGTATTAGCCCATATTAGGCTACAGACAGTTATCCAGGATACTAAAGTTCATGTACCTTTTAATTAATAAATATTTTATTAATGACATATTTTAATATTTAAATATTATTTTACCTGCTTGTCACAGCACTCCTGAATTTCATCTTCATTGAGAGCTGTCCATATGCCCACATAGCTCATTGGCTAGCTCCTCTTTGCTTTTGTCAAATAGGAACTGGGCATGAGACTTTATGTATCTCAAGCATTGATGGTTTTGACCTTTCAGTGGTGAATTATATTCATGTATTTTGAAATGTCTTGTAAGCTCAATCTTAATTCTTTGCATCAGTTTTAGGAAGTTACAAGTAAAACAGGAGAAAAAATTAAGAAGAAAATTTATAAAAGAAGCAGTCTCCTTAACAGAACTTGCAGAAGTATTTCACAGAAGCAACGCTGTGGCGAAAGATGATAGCCGTAAAGGTATCTGGATATAGATCTTTCTTTTGAGAATATCTTCATATCCCTATGTGTTGATGCCCTGTTTATATCACCAGAGTCTGGCCATCACAGCATTTGTTTTATCTTAGGAAATATTCCGAAGAATTTTTTTGTTGGGGATACAGTCCTGCAACTTATTGGACAGTATGCAGTGAATATACAAGGTGGTATACGTGATGCCTTCAGACTTCTGACTGAATTGATTTCATGGTGGGTACTTACTGAAGAGGATTATGCACTCTTTTCAACAAGTTGTCTATCATCAGCTGAAGTAATGGACCAGCTCATAAGCTTTTTAATTGCTAAAAATAATAGAGTGAAGACAAGAATTTTTGTACATGTTGTAAGTGAACTTGAAGAAGTGGATCCTAAACTACATGGTTGGATGAAACATCTTGATAATAATGGTATGGTCATGTTTTCTATAGTCATATAATAATTTGAGTAGTTCTGTTCCATTCTAGGGCAATAGCTGAATGAGGTTTGTTTATCTTAGAGAAGAGACGTGGCTTAGCTGTTGCTTGCCTGGAAATATTCTTACTAATTCTGATCTGCAAGTTCCCTTATGCTTTACTCTTAATTAAGGTTAACGTTATTATTTAAATATAGAAAGAAAAGGCTGTATGAATCTTGGAAATGTGTGTCCTCAGTAGGCAACTTGGTAGTCCTCTGCACTGAGACCTCCAGCAAAGTGAAGTGCCTATTGCAATGTTTCTCAACCGTGGCAACTTTCAGACCTGTGGACGTCAATTCCCAAAAGCTGGCTGGGGAATTCTGGGAATTGACGTCCACAGGTCTGAAAGTTGCCATGGTTGAGAAATACTGGCCTATTGCATGCAAATGCATATGGAGGTAATCCAGGGCAGCTTTCAAAGCAGCTGAGCTGAGCAAGCCTTGCAAACGTGCAACGGCTGGAGTACTTCAAAGAATGGAACTTTATTTACCCTAAAATGCTTCGTGAAGCAACCCTTAAATGCTTTCAAAAGCTCAATATTGTAGTGATCTAGGGTAAATATATACATTATTGCATCTGATGAAAACAAAGTATATCCTAAAACACACGTAACTGTACCTGTCACAACTGTAGTCTTATCAAAATCCCTTAAAATCAGTCACATCAAATTGGGGGGAGAGGAATTGGAATGTATCTTGGCTGCCAAGTTTCCTTTTAGGTTTCTTGTCAGACTTTCTTTCTAATTTGTTCATTATAAAATGCCACTTACAGTGGTATGTTTTTAATAGTTTTAAGAATAGGCTTCTGTATAGATTTTTAGTTTTTCAGGGCAGTGCAGTATCCAAAACTAGATGAAAATTGTCACATTTGTTTTACTCTGCTGGCTTTGCTTCCCCTTTAAAATCTATGCCATTTTTAATATGTCCAGGCTAAAACCAGTATGTTTCTGGAAACTATATGTAGATTAAAGTTACTTTATTTACTTTGTAGAATAGGACACGTATCTCCATCAGTGGTTAACTTCTGTTTCAAAAGGATAAATGGTTTTTTTTAATTGAAGGTTTTTATTACTTTCTACATCTCTATGAGCTTCTTTGGGAGGAAGAGTGGTACAAAAATAAAATATAATATTAATATGAAAATAATAATATAATATTCTCTAGTATAGCATTCTTAAAAGTGCTCTTTAAGAAAATTTTATGAAGTGCTCTTAAGAAAAGCTATTCAGGAAATATTCAAACACTTCCTAAAATAATAAACAGGTTAAAACTTACATACACACACATACATGCACACATATATTATAAATGCCACCCAGAGGATAAATGATAATCTTTACATGAATCTTACTAGTGCTACCACTGCTGTTACTATTGCTATTATTTTGCAGGTTTAAAAGCTACCAAAATTTTTCTCTCGGAATATACAACTTACATTTTACAGCTTGATTTTAGTTCAGTAGCAGTCCTCTGGAATGAGAGATATGGTATTAAGCTCAGCAGGACATTCACCTGCATATCTGAAGATATGACTGAAAAGCTAAAATACTTAGACGAGTTCTCGTTTATGGAAATTCGCTGTTTACTGTGGCTATTAGAAGAAAACAGACAGTGTTTCCCATTTCTTCATCAATGTTTAGATGACTATTTTGATAACCTGGGTAAGTATGAAAGGATGAATAAAAGTTACTCTCTGAACTGTAATCACAATTCCTGGAGGTGTATTTATATTTGTCACCTGTTTGACAGAAATCCCCAGAAATAACCTGGCAGAAAGGAATAGCTGATTTTTCAAGTAGTGTCAGCCTTGTGAGGTAGTCCAGACAAGAAGCACACCCAGGAGTACTAGCTCTATCTTTATTGTAAGGTTACTTTAATAGAATCTTGCCAGTCTGAAAGTATCCCTCCCATCTCTCACATTTATTCTCCCGAAAACTAGGGAGAGTCCCTTCTGAAACACTTTTCACTGCCCCGCCTCTTTTGAGCTTCCATTTTGTATATCAGACCGTTGTCTAGGGTGCTGCTTTTCTTCCCAAGGTCATTCCCACATACCATTACAAGTAGTCATATTTTGGATAGGGGTAGATTGTGATGCAAGTATAGCGATTAGGCAAACTGTAGGCAAATTCCATACTGTGGCTGTATATGGATAATGTTGGGTATGTAAAGTCCCAACACTTTGATGGGGATGGGATGGAAGTTTATTTTGGTTATACCCTTGACTAAGATTTGTTGTTAATTCGTTTGTTGGATAGGTAATGGTAGGCCTGTTGATGTGTTGATTTCTGTAGTCACAGACATGAAGAATTTTGTCTTCAAGCTCATTTTGCATATTGTGCTGAAATTATTATTTGTATTTAATTCACTTATTTGAACAACTATTGAATTCTGACTGTAAAAGCATATGTGCAACTCTGATTGGAGTGGGTCCTGGGATATAGATTATTTTTGAGAATAATTTACAATGTTTTGTGCTTTTTTGTGTATTTTTTTAATAATAAATACAATTTATTTTTTAAATAGATAATCCTTTTATTGTGTTAAAGAAGGAATATACTGAAACTACTTCAGTAAGTTTGTTTTTTCTGTTGATCTCTTTGTTGCAATTAAAACATCAATGCATTAATAACAATTCTTTCTAAGAGGTTTGGAAGAAATAGACAATGTTAATCTTCCTATGTTAATTTTAGATATTGCTCTCATACCACATGTATTATTTTACAGCTAATCCCATATTAACCAATAAATTTCAAAACAAATAAAATACATTATTTAAATATAATTTAAGCATGGTGATAGTATGTGTCAAAAGCAACTCATATATTCCTCATTGAAAATAGCTCTAACTTTTTGACATTTTCTGTGGCACACATTATCAAGGCAGATAGCCTCATGTGTTCAGAGTTAAAATATTGGAAGCAACCCATTTTTTATTATGCCTTTTTTTCCTTTAGTCCTTATTCTCTCTGCAAAAATTTCTCCTTTGGTAATGTTTACTACATTGTTGTGATATATTTATAGTTGCATTACGTTTATATCTGTAGTACTGCTAACCACAGGTATCTTTAATTTGGATATTCAAATTGCTTCAAGCCCTGTTTTAAAAGTGAATTATGCTTAGTATTTCCATTACTCTTTATGAAATATAATAAGTGTTATATAAGAATTGCTTTTGGAAATTGGGAATGACATTTGCAAAAGGAAGCCTTTATATGGGATGGGAAGTCTCAGATTCCTGGCCAGAAGCAGTTCATAAAGTCTTCTACCTGCGTCCCAGACAAAGGTCCCGCCCCCTTTGTGCAGGACGATTCAGGGAGTGATTGTTCCCTGTTGCACGGGAAAAAAGATCTGCAGAAGGAGAATTCAGCCTATGGGCTAGATTTAATTCTCCACCCTGCAATATATTTATGCCCTACCAGCACATGCTATGTCAGAGATGGGGCCAAGAGATGTAGCCTCATTCCTGTTTGCATTGGTAGAATAGAATCATGAAGCACCATGTGTACAGGATGAGGCTTAATATTGAAAAGGAATGAGCATGAATTTGGGAGCAAGACTGGCTAATCATTGTAAGAAATTAGGAAATGTGATATTTGTACTTAATTTGGTAGAGGCAGAAATTACATAATGTATTGTTATTTCACAAAGCTTTAACAGTATATTTCCAATGCTATATAGCTTTTTTTAATGTGAGACAACAATGTATTTTATCTGTCATGGTACTGGTTATGTGAACTAGATTACCTCTCTCTGATTTGGGCTTTGCAATGTAAGCTTGGATTCAATTTTGTTAAATTTTGGTCAGAACAGTGTTTCCTGAAATTTGTATTTAAGCATTTATCAAATTGGGGGATGCGGTGGCGCAGCGGCTTAATGACGCTGAAAGTTGCCGGCCAGAAATGGTCGACACCTCAGCGGTTCGAGCCCAGCCTTCGCATAGCAGAGTGAGCTCCTGCTTCCTCCCCCAGTTCCTGTCAGCCCAACAGTTCGAAAACTTACGTAAGTAGATAAATGGGTACTCTCACTCCGGTGGGAGGAAAAATGCTGGTGCCTTGCAAAAAGGAGTCGGGAACAGTTGCCGGTAAGTGGGGAAGCCGCGCTCGCCCGAAAAAGGCACAAAGCAACGGAAACCCCGCCTCCTGCGCTCGCCAGCTGGGCTCTGCTCTAGGAAGGAGGCTCTGGCAAACCACTTCCGAAACACCT